TGAGTTTACCACTGATTGGGATCGAGAGCAAGAATACGCAATTGTTTGTCGAGACGTTTAATGATGTTGACGATGTTAACGATTTGGCTTTTACAGTTTGATTTTCCCTTATTTTGCTAAAATGGTGGTTATTTTTTCCAAGGAAACAAAGCGGTTGTGGTGGCTGCTGTTCCTCGATTATTTTTCAAAAAAAGAACCTGATGCCCGTTTGAAAGAGATATTCAGTGTTTGTGGTGGCTACTGGTATCTTTTTTTTTGCTTTTTAATTCCTGCTATGTATTATTTTTTTAATATGGCGTCAAATTCAATCAAACACACACACACACACACACACACACTCTCTCTCTCTCTCTCTCTCTCTCTCTCTCTCTCTCTCTCTCTCTCTCTCTCACGCACACTCACTCTCTCTATCTTTTTACATCTCTCTTTGTATCCACTTGCAGGTCAATGTAGCAGAAGGCGCCAGCATCGACAGTAAAACCCCGGAATTGTAAAAAAATAAAGCAAGTTCTTCTCCAATTGCTAGGTTAGACGGTCAACATTAGCAAACTCATAAAGTGGTGTGTCTAATAATGGCCATTTGAGCAATAGCATTCCGATGAAAACTGAACTAGTTATAATTGTCTTGTATTCAAGTGACGACAATTGCATGTGAGTGAACTAGTTCAACTTGTAAATGTGTGAAGATAATGGTGCATGTCTTGTTTAAATAGTGATAGAATGGTGCAAACTTATCATTTCCATACCGTGGATCTCTCTCCTCTCAAGGATCTTCATCATATATATCGGATGGACTTGGGATGGTGTTTTGGCTCATTGGTGATGAAAAGTCTCATTGAATAAAATGTTCAACACAGTTGAGTTGTTTTTGATGTCTTATTGATGATGCTTGTAATCATATTGGTAAAATGTTTCCTGTTCTGGCTTACTGAGGTAGTCCAAAAGGGGGCCATTAGAATGAATGTTTGTTGCTGGAAGGCTTTCTACTTTTTAAGTGAGAGAATTTTTTGTGGGGCTGATTGTGTTGCAAAATTTCCTGCCACACGATCAACTTTTTCCACACATGTTTAACACACACACACACATACACCAGCCAGCTTTTACAGATGAAAAGTGTTGTGACATTTATCGAACTTTTCCAGGAACTAAATTATAACGTATCAGAAAAGAGGTTGAGTTCCTCAGGAGCAATCAGTTTGAGCAAAAGGGAGATTTTTGCAATCAACACATCGCTCAATGGTTTGACTGAGGGTACTCCAGTAACAACAGATCAAGTGGCAGCAATCACGGGATGCATTGGGGAATTATGCAACTCCATAATACACGAGTATGAATGTGAAGAAAGGATAAGCTACTTCTTAATTAATTTGCACTTGAGTGATTTCATGAGACACCATTTTTGTGACCTTATCAAATCATTGTGGCCCATACTTGTAAAAATCAACAGCCATGTTAGCGATCGAGTACTTTTCCACAGGCTTATTGATGATTCACTAAACAACTATCCATCGTGGAACTGGTTGAGTTCAACTGTTTTGGTAAAGTTGGCCGCCAATGAAATCACAAACGATCTCTTAAAGGAAACACTTTATTCACGGGAGAACTTGGTCAAATTTGAACGAATGATGCATCTCAATAGAGATTTTACTTCCCTAATGAATCTAATCAGGTTGTGTGTAACGCTAGGACTCGATACAACCTTTCTTCAGGGTTTGTCAACGCTGTACATAAAATATATTGAGCGCATCAACCCCAATTTCAAAAACTTAATTCAATGTCTGATCAAGTCGAATGTTGACGAATTGATTGGTAGCGAATGCTACATGCAACCTATAGATCGAAATTTGCTTCACGTGTGGGTTAACACTAAGGAACAGTTTGCGTGCCATCATATCAATCTCAAGTGTCTTGAATCATTCAGAACATTTCCAAACTTGATAGTGAAGTTAAAATTAATGTCCGCTACAGGTCCAAAAACACGGTCAAAAAACATAGCAGCAACAGCTTTTTTAACATCTTTTGCGGCCAGACTCGCTGATGGAACTCAAGCAAAGACTTTGGACATACAACTACAAGTGAGGGATGCGTTGCACTTTAATTGGTTGGTGCAGTATTTGAGTGCACTACACAAGAAAAGAAAGTTGGCAATCAACTCTGTCGCGGAGCATGCCGACTCTCACAATCAAGGCCGAGATACCACGTTAGTAGATGAGAAAACAAGACTTCAAAAATTTGAAGCTCGAAGGAACAAAAATGACTCCCCGGTTGCCAGACATGGCCGCAAGGACAAAATCACTAGAAGCAAAAGAAAGAAACTTTCTGATGAATGGGAGTTGACTCTGGACATTGAATTCTCTTTTGAAGAGAGTAGTACAGTTCATCGGAAACGCGAGCAAAAGATTGTTTACCAGCAGCAAATTGATGAATTTGTGGAGAAGACCAAGGATAGGCCGCTGAAGGAAGTTGAGCTTGTTGCTAAAGCAAGTAGACAAGAGATTCAAAAGGAGGAAGATACTTGCCATGGAGATGTACACAACCCTAGCGATGCTCTTCAACATCAATTCGATCAGAACGCAAAGGAGCTCAGCTTCTCTTCAAATTTGTTTGTTTCAGAGGGCAGTTCAAGGTCTCAGCCAAGCGATTTGCTGCTGTCGGTACTCGTTCCGAAAGAGCGCATCGATAGAGTGACTAAAACTCAAGCATCGACATTGATACCTGATACAGAAACCCCAGTTCGAACTTCGACTCCTGTGAATGCAGAATTTACTGAGTTTCCTACTATAACAGATAAAACGTCGGATACTGAGGGCACGCTTGATGTAATGAATGATGCATTAAAGCTTTTTTCGTCTAACTTGTTGAATAAATTAAAGAGAGTTGAATTTGAAGTGCTTCATAAAAGAAATGACTTACAGGTTCAGGTCGATAAAGAGTACAAGAAAATTGAACGGATGCAACGTGCAAAATTGAAAGAAATACAAGAATACTGCAGAAATGAATTAGATAAAATTGTATAATTTCTATTTATAATTGAGGAATCTGGAAATAGCTCTGGCAAAAGCAGAAGGATTGTCGAGGTAAAGATGATGGCCCGCATTCTTGATAATCTTGAACGAAGCTAACTTCTCAGAATACTCCTTCGTGGACAAGTTGTTTATTTCCTCTGTCATTTCTAAACCAGCTTCATCATTCATCCAATCTTTATCCCCATACATCCAGAGGGTAGGTAGCTTCATCTCTACGAATTTCTTGGGGCACCTGTCTATCAAAGGAAGCTTAGGCAACGCACCAACTGCCAATACCCTGGTTATTGCGTATTCACCAGATCCCTTCCCATTGAAAATTCTATAAATGTAATCGTGCATGTTTTGGAAACTCTCTTGGTCTTGATAGTATACATGTGCAAATCTATGTGTTGTCCATCTCGAGATAAGCTTAGACTTGACCGGGCCCGCGTTTCTGATGATTGAAAATGGAGAGTAGTTTTTCTCCCACATGTAATCAAAAAGCTTTCTTGTACGGCTTTTTGGAGGCTCTTGCAATGGTTTACCCTCCACGATGTCTTCTTGATCAGCCAAAACCTCTTGTTCAAGAGATATTCGTGGATTCTCTTCCTTGTTCAAAAAGGAGTACTTGTTTCGTTCCACTCCTACTGGACTTATGAGCACTAGCTTATCGATTAAATTCGATTGATATCCAGTAATTGGGTTAGATATTTTCTTGTTGTACTTCAAGGCATAAGCGCAACTCAAGTATCCTCCAAAAGAATGGCCCATAAGCACAAAATTATTAATACCTCGTTTATTCCTCCACGTCTCCAAAGGGTCTATGAACCAATCTTCAACTTTATAAACGTCCTGCCTGGTAGACGAGGGAAAGTTTGGAAATTTTGGTCTCGAACTTAATCCAAACCCAAGGATGTCAATAGCATGAATTTTTGAGCCTGGAATGGAGCTCAACTGATCAAAATTGTCTATAAATAAACCAAGCGATGCTGCATAGCCGTGTACAAGAACAAATTCTTTACATATTTCCGGTCTCTCATCCTTTTCGGTATTTTCAATATAAAATTCGTGAATAAACTGGCCATTGCCTATGTCAGTATTAACAACACTAGCCTGTCTCTTGCCATCGCTTTCTGGGTAAAATGGCAACAGAGACAACAACTTGTTCTCGATGTCCAGGTCATTATAGTTTGAGCTCCAACTCTGCTTAAACCAGTCTTTCCAACTTTGGCCCCAAGAGTAATGGGGTTTTTCGCGACCATCATTAAATTCATTCACCTTTTTAGGGCGAGACTCTATCGATGTGGTCGTAGACCTAGAAGACGCATTTTGTGAGGGTAACGCTGATGACTTGGGTGTAACCAGGTTCGCGGTTACGGATGATTCTTGTGTTGACATGGCAATGCACTGGGAGGTGGTGAATAGAATAACCGGAAGCTGAAGGCGTCCCGTAAGCACTGCTATCAGGATGTTCTTTTTTTAAAAAAAAATAAAAATCTTCTAGATCAGAAGGCGAAGTTTGGAGCTGTCATTTTCAAATCGGAAATCTGTAGGTGGCGCTAAATGCGGTATTAGTAGGAATCGTTTTAAATCCGTAGATTTCTTTATCTCGGCCGGAAACCAAAAATAGCAGTTAAGTTTCCTTTGCACCCAAATCATTTTAGGGACAACAGAGAGTATCAAGTAGTGGTCTGTGTGGATAGAGAGTAGGTGACAGAATTGTAGTCATGTATTGGCTCACACTCTTTGAATTGCAAATGAACTCAAGGTCGGCCGCTCATCTACATTTCATAGAGGGTCCCCCCCCCAAGGACGTCTACTTGGTACATGCGTCTGCTTCGTATAACTTTTCATTTCATACCAAACACATCTTGTTAACCGAGTAGAATGTCACATTCAAGCAATTAGTATAATCTGATATCTTGTGAAATGTAACTGAACATATTTCATTTAATGCTTCTTAAGAGTAAACTATAACTAAAGAATATTCCAATCAATACAGTAAGTATGACGGAAAACCATGGTTATTTATAGTGTATTTGTAATACTACGTGTTTCACTCGAATTTGGTAAAATGTTACGTTCTAGAATATTCTTGAATATATTCTGGGGTCGACAAAGTATCAGGATTGTACCAACACTCGAAACTTTTTGATCTAAAACTGTGCTATTAATGGATGATGTAATCTGAAAATTGAACAAGAAATACTGCTCTACACTGAAATAAATAGATATTAGGTTAATCTCTGGTTTGAGGTGACAGTAGAGTATCTAACACCTTGTGTTTCAAAGCATATTGCCTCAGTCGCCTTTGTAGTAGACTCGAAATTGAAGTTGACCCTTTTGACCTTTCGTGCGGCGCATTGTTTCTCCTCTGTTGCACGCCCTTTTTCTTTTTTTTTTCTTCCTCTTCTTCATTTTTTTTTTTCATCTTACACACACTCTCTCTCTCTCTCTCTCTCTCACTGTCTCGTAAGAATATTTTTCAGTCAAAAATTTTTTTTTTTTTACATTCGATTTCAATCTCAGCTCAATCACATATCAACAGCATATTTATCAGAATGGTATGTTTAACTAGGCCAGTTTGATGTAATTCATAGATTGTGAATCCTTTTACTAACATCATCAATAGGACACTAAAACTCCAGTTACATTAGCTAAAGTCATCAAAGTTTTGGGTAGAACCGGTTCAAGAGGTGGTGTCACTCAAGTTAGAGTTGAATTCTTGGAAGACGCTTCAAGAACCATCGTTAGAAACGTCAAAGGTCCAGTCAGAGAAAACGACATCTTGTGTTTGATGGAATCCGAAAGAGAAGCCAGAAGATTGCGTTAAGTCTTTCTTATCCTATGCTTTTTTTATTTTAAAGGTGTTTGTCTATGGAAAATGAAATGTTTTAATTCCAGCAAATACATTAACTAGAAGTGAGGAGCATATAAGGGAGAGAAGAGAGGGAGGGGTGCGTGTTTGAGCTTATGTTAGGCTATGAAGATTTGGATTTTTTTGTTGCATAGTGATGTGTTCAGTCATACGTATCCGTTATTATTAATACATGTCATTTTTTACAATTTTTGCAATTGGAGGGGCATTTCCCAGGCACATGATGTGGAAGGAGGGTGTATATCGCCTATGCTCTTTGGCATAGTGTGATATTGGACCATCTAGGCGTAATTGTAGATTCGGCTTCTCCGCGTAAACTTTATATTGAGGTACCTCTATGAAAATTTACTCACGTGAATATTTTTTTCGTGGTTTCAGCCCTAATAGTCGTGCGAGTGGAAACAAAACTGTTCAGTGTCGTGGTTTAAATTTATGAGACATGTGTATTCTGCGACAGAAGGCTTTTGTACTATTTGCCATGATCGATCGCTGAATGGAACGACAGAAAGAAGGCGAGGGAGACGTATTAGCATTCAGCATCACACAACCGATCAATCAACCAATCAACCAAGCAAATAGTTATAATGTCTGACTTGGAAGACGATTTGCTAGCCTTAGCTGGAGGGGAAGATTACGCCTCCGATTCAAACGACTCAAAGCGCAGTGGTTTAGAATATGAATCAGAAGAGGATGATACGGTATTGGCCAAGCGTCGTAAAGTGGAAACAGATGCAGAGGATGATGTACAAGAGGCCAACTACGATATAGAGAGCGATTACGAGCCTGAATTAGTAAATCCCTATCCATTAGAAGGCAAGTATAAAGATGAGCAAGACCGTGAGGAGTTGGAGGAAATGGACGAAATCAAAAGGGAAGAGATCCTCTTTGAAAGATCACAGGAGATGGACAAGTTTAAAGAACGTCAGTACTTGCAACAGAGAATTAAGGCACAAAGGGATCCTAAACAAGCCCAGAATGACAATTTGAGAAGTTCAAGTCGTCTGAAGACTGGAGGTGTTCGATCAAAGAAGGAATCCAAACTCAGTGAGTTGAAAAAGGAGAGAGAGAGGCATTCGAGAAGAAATGCTAGGAGACACGATGACTATGAAGATGGGTCTGAGAATGAAGAAGAAGAAGAAGAAGAAGAAGAAGAAGAGGACGAAGAGGACGAGGATGATGAAGACGCATATAATGATGAAGATGCTGTCATGTGGGGAGGTGTGTCAAAATCAAAACACAAGAGACTGACTGAATTGGCCAAGTTAGAAGACATAAATCGAATCAAAGTGGGAAGAAGTTTACTAACGCAATACTGTTATCATCCTGGATTTGATGATACTATATTGGACACCTATACAAAAGTTAATCTTGGAGCAGACAGGGTGACCAAAGAGCCGTACTATAGAATGGTTAAGATAATCGATATGAAAGCTCGACCGGAAAGGGCGTATCGAATCGGCAGTTCAAAGTATGATTTGTATTTTTTGGTTAGTCAAAACAAGAACCAGAAGAAACCATTCCCCATGAGTTTATTTTCTGATTCGCCTATAACTCAGAATGAGTTTGAGAGGTATTTAAAAGAACTTGATAAAACGGGAGAATCCATTGATTATCTTGACGATGTTAATGAGAAATATAATCAATTGCAAAGTTTGTTTAATAGAGGGTTGACAGACAAGGATGTAAATGAGATGATTGCTAGGAAACAACGTATTCTGCAGAAAAGTGGTAATTATACTACTTACGATGCAGTCAAGACTAAGGCCAAGTTGATGGATGAATTGAAGATATGCAAACAACAGGGCAATCTACAAAAGACTAAAGATATTATTGAAGAGTTGAAAAACATAGATTTGGTATTGCAAGATCAAAATGCGTCGACATCACAATCATCACAATCAAGTATAGCCAAGGTTAATGAAAGGAATCGTAAATTAAATCAAGAGAATATAAGGAAAGCTGAAATCAAGTTCAAAACCAATGCCCAAAGCCAATCAAATCAAGATGGTGATCCATTCTTGAGGTTGAAAACCGTTACACGTATGTTTTATCAAGATTTAATTAATGAAGAAAATGCTAAAGCTTTAAAAGATGTCAATATGCAGGAGTTGATCAATGAAAAGACCAAGCAAGAAGAGAAGATTGCCAAATCTACTTATAGAGATTTGGGAGAGATGGATAAATTGATTAAACTGATTGATGTTGATATTGAATTGTTTGTATAAAATATTTTAAACCCCAATCTGTGTGTAATGAAGGAAAAGTCTTAGTTGAGAGAATAGACCAGTAGAAGAGACTTTTAGAAATTTTCCTTTAGGGAAAGTACCAGTCAAACTGTCTGGAGGTGTATTAACTTTCAAAGTTGATACTTTGTTTTATAGTAAATATAATTTGCGAAATATTTGGTGTAATTTACTAGTCGAGAAAAAGTTGCATGGAAGAGTCCTTCAGGGGACAGGAGGGGATGGGGGAGAGAAGTCAGGAACGAGATCGGAGGCTCTCATTCTTCCTTTAGGCATTGTTCTAGAAGGGATTTGTGATACTCCGAAAGACGATATATCACTTTCGGCTAACCAAAAGCTGAGTCTGTTATGTTGCTGTGTTGTGACGTTGCATGCGCCGCTTTCGGCTCGTTGGAGAGCGAGACCGGATGCCAAGGAAATGCCACTCCCGTCATATAAATTAAATTAGGATATATATATATATATATACTCAGGAGATTGATATATATCATCAAGAGATAGAAGTTACAAAACTGTTGGTTGGAGGGGGGAGGTGATGAAAAAGCAAAGGTCTGTTTAAACAATTGCTATGGGTGGACACGTTTAAATCTAGAGCAAAAAAGAAAGAAAGAAAGAAAGAAAGAATGAATTAAATAATAACCAAATGCGGTAATATCCGAGACTTAAAAGAAAAAAGAAAACTAAAAAGCCGATTATGAGTCAATTGGGGAGGAGGGAGTGTCAATAGTCAAAGAAAAAAGTATTCAGCAACTCTTCCATTAACTATTTAGCTAGTTAACTAGTAATTAGTGCTGGTATTGATACTACTGGTACTATTGGTACTATTGATACTATTGGTACTATTGATATATATAGTAATAGTTATATGTTTATTCTACTGTAATGGTGTATAATTATACTTCTTATAGTCTGCTAATACTATTAGTAATCCTTTTTGTTAGTATGCACCTGCATATAGAGAGGGAAAGACTAAAACGGAACGACAAATAAAAATTTTTCTTCCTCAAACACACAGAGAAAGAAAAGAGAGTAATAACATATATGAATATATATTTCCAAACCAATTACACTTGAAAGCAAACATAGAACTTTACTTGTTTTTTACCATATTGTATAACAAAGTCTTACCAACTAATTATATATATATATATATATATCCCCTTCCTTCCAACACTTTATCACAACCTACAACCTACAACTTACATCCTAAGACCACTCAACATTCTTTATTCAAACTTCCAACTATTGTATGCAAATTATATAGCCCTTTTCTTGATTTGCAATATCTATCACACAGACAGACAGACAGACAGACAGCCTTCTGAACAAACTGAAAACACAGTAACTACCACTACTTGATTAAAAAAAGAAAATCTTACATTTGAAATATAAAATAATATGTCTTTTCATCCTAATCATTATTTAAATGGTTTGAACTTGGAATATGAGGATACCACAACCTCACCCAATAATAACAATAACATGTTTTCACCTTCATCAGCTAATAGCCATGACTTGATCACTGAAGAGGATATTCAACAACACCTTGACTTGTTTAGTGGCGCAGCTAACGAATTTTACTCATTAGATGTCGTTGGTGATGACACTGTTGTCCCTATTAAACCAGTGCAACAGTATCAGCAACAACAACACCACAACAACCAACAGTTGGAGCAACAATACAAGGAGTCATTTGCAAGACCTAACCAACAATCAGTTGTAAATTCAAAACTACCAACTACCCACGATATTGGATTGACAGCCAATGCAGCAAACATTCCATCTCCATATTCAGTAGCGTCTACTCCTTATACTCCTTCAGCCAATACTGTCACCAATGCAACTTGGAACGGAATACTGTCATCTCAAGGTGCACTTGACGACAAGAAAAAGAGAAATACTGCAGCTAGTGCAAGGTTTAGAATCAAAAAGAAGTTGAAGGAACAAGAAATGGAAAGAAAAGCCAAAGAATTAGAAGATAAAGTTGTGGCATTAGAAAAGAAGTTGAAGACTATGGAAATGGAAAACAAGTGTTTAAAGAGCATAATATTTCAACAAAACGAACAAAAAAATATTGATTTACTAGAATCGATAAAGAAGAAGTCAATTATGGATAGTAAATCAAATTTCGAATACACTGTCTGAGGAAGGAATCAGTGTCAGTTTACCTTGTTTTTTTATCCATATCTTACAATTTTAATATCGTTTATTCCTTTTTTTTATCAACTTGTGGCATGTGCTTGTAATTCAACTAACAAGCCCCACCCCAGAGCCACTATTTCACCATCCTATCACGATCATAACGACAGAAACTTTATGAATTCAATTCGAGATCCAACTCTCGGTGTTGGTATTAATCAAAATATTTTCAGGCTGAGGTTTTTTTTAGCAGTATTTTTTGTTTGACTAATGAAATATTGTTACTATAATCTCAGTTATATTTTGGTTTTTATTGTCCTTTATTTTTTTTTATCATGTTTATCATTTTTATCATTAAAAAGTTTATAGATTCAACAATTCACTTCGTGAGGCCTTGACTTACATCCTTTGAAGCACTCGTCTTCTTTGGAGTGATTCTTTGCCTTTGAACAAAATAAAAAATTCTCCGAAACAATTTCCAACAAATTGTTTCCATTAAATTTATCATTATTTAAAAAGAAGCAACTGAAAAGGTGCTTCTATTTGTAAGTCGATCATGTCTCTAATTACTTTTTGTTGGGTGGTGATAAGACCAGTAAGAACAGGCGCACTCTGGTTTCAATCCACTCAGCAGTATACGTGCAACGTTTCTATAAGGGGTTCAAAATCTTAGATCTTCTGAGGGCCCCTTCTCCTCCCCCATTTCTTATCGAAAATAATTCAAAGCTTTGAACTATCTCAAATTTGTATTCAATTTGGTCTACAAATATCATCTTCAGTTGTATTACACATGGTTGATCTAGACTTTGTATGGAGTTTTGTATTAAATCGTGCGCTCCTTTCTAGTCGAAAGTTTTTCTTTTCAAGAACTTTAAAAATCCTCAAAATTGACAACCAAAACAAAGACTCATACATGCACCTTGGTAATACACCTTCTACTACTGTCTACGTTAAAGTATTGGTATATTAGAGGACACTTCTGGCTAAGGTATCCCGTAAAGAATGGCTCAGAATACCGTGGACAACGTGGACGTATTTTGCGGCTCTAGTCGACCTCGGAATCATGTTGAGGAACGGTCCATTTCTCCCCAACACAAGGAACTACTCCTGAATCTTGACACAGACAATATGAGTACAGGTACGACACTGGAATCAGTAGAGCACGGCCGGCTGGAAAATCGTAACGTTGGTGATTCGAGGCTTTTGTCAACTGATAATACACCCCGCATTGGATCGAATACAAAAGATAAACAAGCTGAATCAGACACCATCCCAAATCCGAATAATAGTCCAAAGGAGATAGAACAATATCATTTCCCATTGCATAAGGTAGATAGCTATGGGGCATATAGGTCACTAGAGGAGCAAATCGACTTGCGATTGGCTTCACTGAACAACCCCACTATCATAATGGAGTTGGATCTCGACGGTGGCATCAGGTACTTGTCCAAAAACTGGGAATATATTGTTGGTACCTCAATAAGCAAAATCACACATCGACCCATCTCCAAGATTATTGTGGGAAACAATGAAGACGATTACAATGTTTTTAACCAAGCTATTGAGTCAATGACTCGTGACGATGCAAGCTACAAAGTAAAATTCATAACAGCAACCAACCATACAAGACATGACATTGATGGCAATGAAATCCGTGGCGATGTGGAGGAGCTTGTCCGTGACAGGGCAGATGTCAATCAAGATGGACAACTTACGCCTCATAATTCACTAGAGGAGACGAACGAGGTTGATTTACCTGTGGAAGACTATATACCTCTTGAAACAAAAAAGTCGGAAAAGCTCGAGCAAGTTGACCAATCTTCCCAAAGAAGCTCGATATCTACATCCATATCCAACGATGGAGGTTACATAGAGCTTGAAGCCCAAGGGATCCTAATCCATGACTCCCAAACTAAGCTTCCGACACACTCGATGTGGACGGTACGGCCATTTGTACAAATTGATTTGGAGTTATCAATCCCGGATGCATTGATCGACTTGTTGGGATTTGGCTCAGAGATTTTCGAAGGATACTTGATAAACTTGAAACTGTTAGGTGTTGCCGATGAAGAATATGTGCCCCAGCCTAATACAATATTGTGCCGAATTTGTGAAACTAACATTCCAGCATGGTTTATTGAAAAGCATAGTGATTTATGTCTAATTGAACATCGTGCCGACGAAGACTTGCAACAATGTCAAGATGCTATTGTGGAGCAACGAGACTTGATTGTCAAGATAATAGAAAGTTTGGCTTTACAGACTCAGCAACCAAATTTGTACCTGCAGCAACAGGCTGGACAAGGGAGTCAGATTGGCTCTGGTCAACAGCCACTGACTATATCGCTGGCACTGTCGCCGACGCTGTTACTGCCAAACGCGTCAACACACCTGTCATTATCCCTGAGCTCATCTGATGACGATAATTCTGCAAGTTCACTGCCCGTTATTCGTGACTACAAGGGTCTTGCATTGCCGTTAGTTTCAAGTGAAGGTTCGTCGCCTCGACTTGCGAACAAAACAATGACCAAAAACTTTCATTCGAGGAACAAGAGCTTGATGTATTCAAAAAAATTTCCATTCGGGACTTTACAAAGGATCAAAGAGTTTTGTGATGAAGCTATCGCGGTAAACCCACCATCGAGCAACAGCAACAACAACAATAACAACAACGGTGACGATTTGCAAAATTTTGTATCATTCTCTCCGGATTCTGAAAAGTCTTTGAATTTGGTGATGAACCCCATGAGTATTGAAACTTCTGATGCCGCTATAAAACAGATACTAGAGGATACAAAGGAGCTTGTGAATGAGAAGTTGGAGACTTTGTCAAGACTAGTTTCCATATTGCAGTACCTGAATAAAATCAAAAGCGAAGTCGATTTATTGGTGTTGGAAACAGTGAGAGAAACAGTCGAGAAAATAAGAAGCCAAACAGCAACTAAATTATCAAGAAGCTGTACACCCTCGGATAGTATCGAACAATCGAGACTGCCAGTTGTGCCACAACTGGTTAATGTAACAGATGTACAATCGGGCTATTCGCCACATGTACGGCCAAGTCTGGGCAAAAATTCCCGAGAAAATAGTACTCACAATTTGGAGCAACCTCCTATGTTTGCACCCAGACCCTCTAGAAGCAAAAGTCCTATGGAGCTACTTCAGGACTCTCAGTTTGAAAATGCTGTTACTCCAAAGGATATATTGATGAATGATTCAAGGCACCTATCACTTAATTCGTCCTCTTCATCCTTATCAGGGCGCCGAAAATCTAGTTGGAATGAAGTACCACAACGACGCCTGTCCAATGAAGTTTCACGCACATCGTCGGGAAACAATACGAATTATTCTTCTCCCATACGACATTTGTCCCCTGCGCCATATACCGAGAAGAGCAGCTTGACATCAATCCAACGAAGTGGTGCCGTTAAATCATCACCCATGGCGTTACAAGCAGCTGAGTCTGACCTTGGCGGTTCTGGGATTGATAAAAAGATTACCAAATTATCTTTGGATACGGCTGCTACACCAATGCAACAAAACTCTCCATCATACTCACTTAGCCATGGAACCCCAAGTCAATTAAGTAGCTCAATTTCTAGGCCACCATTGTCTCCTTTGTTAGTTTCAACACAGCAAGCCCCAGCCAAACCAGCTGGTATCAAAGACTATGAAATAGTGAAACCCATTAGTAAAGGCGCTTTTGGCTCAGTATTCCTTGCAAAGAGAAAGTTGACGGGAGAGTATGTTGCCATAAAATGTCTTCGCAAACGTGATATGATTGCAAAAAACCAGGTTCTCAATGTTAAATCTGAAAGAGCGGTAATGATGCGGCAGAGTGACTCTCCCTATGTGGCGCAATTATACTCTAGTTTCCAATCAAGAGATTTTCTATACTTGGTGATGGAGTACTTGAATGGTGGTGATTGTGGGAATTTGATAAAAACCTTGGGCGTTTTGGGCCTCGAATGGTCTGCGCGTTATATTGCTGAGATAATTATTGGCGTGAATGACTTGCACGAAAGGGGAATCATCCATCGTGATTTGAAGCCGGATAACATTTTGATTGATGAGAATGGCCATTTAAAGCTAACCGACTTTGGTTTATCAAGGCTAGGTGTAGTGGGTCGTCAAACAAACCACAGGAAGAGTAGTGTCAATGAACAGAGTGTTGAGTTATTCCGCAGCATCTTTGGAACTCATGGTGGCAGTGGAAGCGCAAGTGCAAGTGCAAGTGGACCAAATTCAGCAGGGCTAGATAATGATGATCTGCGTGGTAAGAGAAATAGTTCTGGCAGTTCCATGGTGCTATCTCCTTCTTTAGAGAAATCAAGATTGACGCACCAAAATCATACCCCGACAAATTCGCTTCAAGCGGGATCGTCTCCCACTATGCAGTTTTTGGAAACTTTTGGTAGTAATAAACACAGAACAGGAGGCCGATCGAACTCCGGTGGGTTGGAATCACCATTGTTGAAACCGATTATTCCAAGAACTGCATCTGAGTCTTCCTTTGCGCTAATGGATGATGAGAGCTCAAATTCTCCAATTACGAATTATGCATTGTATGACCCAAAATTAACAGCAGCTGTAACTTCAGGATCGGATTTAGGAGCAAGTGCTGAAGGGAATGACGGGGGTGTTAAAAGATTTGTGGGCACTCCCGATTATCTTGCACCCGAGACTATCCGAGGTATTGGACAAAGTGAGGCATCAGATTGGTGGTCCATTGGATGCATTTTGTTTGAATTCCTATATGGCTACCCGCCTTTTCATGCCGATACTCCGGAAAAAGTGTTTGATAACATTTTACGAGGTGAAATAGATTGGCCAAACTTGCCACCTGAAGAAGATCTGAAGCTATGTTCTCCAGAGGCAAAAGACTTAATTGAGCGACTTTTGGAGTTGAACCCAGAGAAACGATTGGGCTCGCAAGGAGCTGATGAGATAATGATGCATCCATTTTTCAATGAAATTAACTGGGACGCTGTTTTTGAGGAACCTGCACCGTTTGTTCCCAATTTGGATAATCCGGAGCTGACAGACTACTTTGATTTACGAGGCGCTTCATTGGCGCAATTTCCCAATGACGGGTCATCATCAGATGAGGACAAGGAAGCAGAAGGCAATGCCCAAAGAGGACAGTCGTTCAATTCGCTTCACTTGCCTTCGGTTAACAACACCGCTTCAACTTCACTGATCAAAAGAGAGCGCCGTTCCAGTAGATTAAGTGAGGCTGGAGAGTTTGGACTGTTTCATTTTAGAAACTTGTCGGTATTGGAGAAGCAAAACAAGGATATTATAAACAGGTTGAAGTCAGAACACTTGGAGCATCGAAATAGTTTTTCGTCATCTTCCCTGGAAGGTACCCCTGTGATGAGATCTAGAGGATTGTCCTTCGGTAATGTACCAGGTACCGGATCCGGAGTAAATCTATCAAATCCGACCGTTGCATCGAGCCCTTTCAAAAGACCAGTATCTCCACCACTAGGAACCGCCTTAGGCTCGCCGGCGAATGCACATACTAGGTCCTTATCGCCTCACCGAGTGTTTGAAAGTCCATCTATTTCATTCGGAAAACACGAAAGAATACCTTCGACTGTTAGTACCTATTCACTGGGGGATGATACCAACCAAGACTCGCCAAACACATCATCGTCCTTCACTCATCAAAGATCTGGTAGCTCACCTTACATTCAAGGCTCGGGAAAGACGGCCGCTAGTCCAACAACTACTTCAAACTTAGCTCCTACCCCCAACTCCATGTTATACTCGTATTTGAGTCCGAACGTGCTCCATACTCAGCATTCGTTCTTCAGAGACACTTCATCACCAAACTCGTCAGATTCGGAGGAGACGACAAGATCAAATGCGTTATTAAGAGTACAACGTCGAAGAGAAAGTTCAAGGATGTCTGAAGAGATTTCCTTAAATCATGATCTTGATGTTCTATATTGTGAGCCAATTTCTTCTGTTCGTCATCAAGTTGTGAAATTGTTGGAAAGGGCTGGGTGTATAGTTGTTTCAGTTTCAGACGGGGAGGACTTAATCAAGCGGGCAACAAGTCAGGTGAAATTCGACCTTATAATGACAGCGTTGAAGCTCACTAAAGTGGAGTCCATCGATGCTGTCAAATTAATCAAGTACACCGCAGGTCTGAATTCTACCACTCCTATTATTGCAGTGACTGGATTTGGTGATGAGGCAAGGAAGTCGCAATGTTTCGACTTTGTTATTGAAAAACCTGTTACTTCTGATAAGATCAAGGAGTGCTTGAAGAAGATGTTGAATGATGAAGCTGTTATTGATTGATTGGGGGATAATTATTGACTCGTTGGTAGCTATTGCCTGTTGTATGACAGTTTTTCCATACTTGTTATGTGTATGGCTAAATATACAATGAAATGCGTAATTTCACTTACTGTTGGTAAATTGCAGCAATCAAGAGAAACATGTGGCTTTAAAGCCTCCGTGAGTGAGTGAGTGAGTGAGCGAGTGATTAATTGTCCATGGCGTGGTGAAATCAGGGAAGTAGTCGTTAAAGTCTTCCATTAGTTTGGGGTACCAGAAGTTCTAAAAGCTTAATGTGATTATTGTAACCGTACATACAATTGGCACGGTTTTATTGATTTGAAAGTATTATAGGGCGGTCTGTGCAAGTTCGTGGCGGGGCACACGCACCATACACACGGAGAGAGAGGGTGAGAGGGTGAGGAGAAGAACTTGGTTTAAGTGGGTACTATTCTGGTGTCGCCTGATTTTTGAATTGAAGCACGTCCACTCATCATTAATCATTTATATCTAGCGAGTCTGTTGCGCTACTTGCACTTGACTGATTCAATCTGAATGAAGGAATTTCAGATACTTGGAATATCTTGCATTGTAGCCACCAGTATATCAAATACATAATATCTTATAATTCTCCATGACAAAAAGTCTCTCATGTTTACCAATTCCACTTGTAGCTCCACAAAATATGGCCATAGTGTAACATCCAAATATTTTCTAACATGGTGTAGCACCTGTGCCTAGGGCAATAGCATTGCATGACATTATTTCTACTCTTTGTATTTTTGTCTCCAATAAGAAACACACACACACACACACACACACACACGCGTCATGCAAAATGGAGGCGCGTGCACTTTTTTTTTGTATTTCGTTATAACTTTCAGCTCCGCGTCACCAGAGTTCTTTATCCCGTACACCATTCTAGTTGCCTTCCTGTGGATCAGTCACTACTATAAGTTACATCCGTAATCAACCATGTCATCAAAAAGGGCGTTTGAAGAGATACATCAAGATCAAGCGCACTCCCTCCCTGTGGCTTCGCAAGTTGCAACTGCGACGCCTCTGCTCGGTATCAATGAATCACAAGAGAAGATATTCAAGAAACTCAAAAGGCCGAATGGAACCGAAGAGCCGTCTGAATTTGAAAAGGAGTTGCTTGATATGACACAAGCAGCGCAAGAGGCTGGTACTGATGAAGATCAAAATTGGTCTAGACCCCTGCTTCCAGCCAATTTCGACCCCAATAAGGAAGATGTTTCTTTTCAACAATTAGACGGTGAGGAGTACAATGAACACGATGCCACTTATGCCAGATTTTTTGGAGTCACACAAGAAGGGTACTCGGTCCTTTGTAATGTGACTGGTTTTATCCATTACTTTTATTCGCCCGTTCCCAAAGGATTTGTCAAAGACCACCATTTGATGCAATTTACCAGTTATTTGAAAGCAAACTACGATGGGGTTGTTGAGGTGCAAGTTCATACAAAAGAGTCCATATGGGGCTACAACAATAATATCAAAACACCTTTCTTCAAGATATATGCCAATAACAACAGAAACATAACCAGATTGAGAGGTGCTTTTGAAAAAGCAGAAATTCGGTTTGAAGACTTGTTTCCCATCCAGCAAAGTGTAACTTATGACAACATCAACTATCTTTTGAGATTGATGATTGATTGTAACATTACAGGAATGTCATGGATCACATTACCTAAAACCAAGTATAAATTAAGGAGTTCCAAGATTTCTTCTTGCCAAATAGAATGTTCGATAGACTATAAAGATTTGATTGCTCATCAGTCCGAAAAAGAGTGGTTGAAAATGGCTCCCTTGCGTATCTTGTCGTTTGATATAGAGTGTGCTGGCAGAAAGGGTATATTTCCAGAAGCAGAACATGATCCAGTCATTCAAATTGCAAATGTGGTCCTGAAGTTGGGAGACTCGAAACCATTTGTGAGGAATGTTTTCACGGTCAATACATGCGCCTCCATTATTGGTTCACAGATATACGAGCATGAAAGAGAAGAAGACATGTTACTACACTGGAAGGAATTCGTCGACGAGGTGGATCCTGATGTCATTATTGGATACAACACAGCCAACTTTGATATTCCGTACTTGTTGGACAGAGCAAGGACCTTGAAAGTTCTCAAGTTTCCCTATTTTGGACGATTGAAAAGTGTCAAGCAAGAAATTAAGGACGCTGTGTTCAGCTCGAGGGCATATGGTACGAGAGAAAATAAAGTTGTAAACATCGATGGTAGAATGCAATTGGATTTGCTCCAATTCATTCAAAGAGAGTACAAGTTGAGATCGTATACACTTAATTCTGTATCCGCGCATTTTTTAGGGGAGCAGAAGGAAGATGTTCAACATTCGATTATTACAGATTTGCAGAATGGAAATAAAGAGACACGAAGACGTTTGGCTGTATACTGTCTCAAAGACGCCTACTTGCCCCTCCGGTTATTGGATAAATTGATGTGTTTGGTCAATTACACAGAAATGGCAAGAGTTACAGGGGTTCCTTTCTCGTACTTACTTTCCAGAGGACAACAAATTAAAGTTGTGTCTCAATTGTTTCGAAAATGCTTACAAGAAGACATTGTTATTCCAAACATGAAAAGTGAGGGCTCGAATGAAGAATACGAAGGAGCAACGGTTATTGAGCCCGAAAGAGGTTATTACGATGTTCCAATTGCAACACTAGATTTCAGCTCGTTGTACCCATCGATTATGATGGCTCATAACTTGTGCTATACAACACTACTCAATAGAAATTCCATTAAAGCATTTGGCTTGACAGAGGAAGATTATACCAAAACACCGAATGGGGACTATTTTGTTCATGCTAATAAAAAGAAAGGTATTTTACCCACAATCTTGAACGAATTGTTGACGGCAAGAAAAAAGGCAAAAACGGATTTGAAAAATGAAAAAGACCCCTTCAAGAAGGACGTTCTCAATGGTAGACAGCTTGCGTTGAAAATATCTGCAAACTCGGTTTATGGGTTTACGGGTGCCACTATTGGTAAATTGCCCTGTCTTGCAATATCATCTTCAGTGACCGCGTTTGGACGTGAAATGATTGAAAAGACCAAGAATGAAGTCCAGGACTATTATTCCAAAAAGAACGGTCACCCGTATGATGCACAGGTTATTTATGGGGATACAGATTCTGTTATGGTGAAATTTGGTTATCAGGATTTAGAAACCTGTATGAAGCTTGGGGAAGAAGCTGCTAATTATGTGTCAACAAAGTTTAAAAACCCCATCAAGTTGGAATTTGAGAAAGTTTATTTTCCTTATTTATTGATAAACAAGAAAAGATATGCGGGGTTGTATTGGACCAGGCCCGACAAGTTTGATAAAATGGACACTAAAGGTATTGAAACCGTTAGAAGAGACAATTGTCGGTTAGTACAAAATGTTATTACAAAGGTTTTGGAGTTCATTTTAGAGGAGAGAGATGTGGAAAAGGCGCAGAGATTTGTCAAGCAAACAATTGCTGACTTGTTACAGAATAGAGTTGATCTATCACAATTGGTGATCACTAAAGCTTATTCCAAGCACGATTATTCGGCAAAGCAGGCGCACGTGGAATTGGCGGAGAGAATGAGAAAAAGAGACCCCGGATCAGCGCCCACATTAGGTGATAGAGTAGCTTACGTGATAATCAAGTCTGGTGGTGATAAAAATTACGAAAAGTCAGAAGACCCGTTGTATGTTTTGGAGAATTCGTTGCCTATTGATGTGAAGTACTATTTGGAGCAACAAATGACAAAGCCACTAGAAAGAATTTTTATTCCAATTTTGGGGGAATCCAAGACGAAGGAACTATTGGCGGGTGCGCATACGAGAACAATAAAAATGTCCGCACCAAAGACGGGTGGTCTTATGAGATTTGCTAAGAAATCCGAGGTATGTGTCAACTGTAAGACACCACTAAAATCGGGAAACAGTGGTGCATTGTGTCACAATTGTATTGATGAGGGCAAAGGTCCTGGTCTATATGCTAACGCCCTCTCTCAAATGAACTACTTGGAAAATAAGTTTTCTCGATTATGGACGGAATGTCAAAGATGTCAAGGATCGTTACACCAAGAAGTACTCTGTTCAAACAAAGATTGTCCGATATTTTACATGAGAAAGAAAGTTCAAAAGGATGTTCATCAACAGGGTTTAGAACTAGTTAAATGGAATGAAACGAACTGGTGATTGCATTAAAGTAAAGAATAAAACTCGACTTGCGTTTTACTACTTACACGAAATATGACATTAAGGTTAATATTCACATATATTTATGTATAGTTTGTTGCAATGTACTTTTGCCTATTTATTCTATCCATCAATATCTTCGTATTTTTCTAATCTGTCCTCGGCTGCTTCTTCGTCCTCTATTTTGATTCCACCACTAATGGAGAATTGACCACCAGCCCCGATCATCAAAATATCTTCATTCTTGGTGGCGGTATTCACTATTCTCGTTGGTTTCTCTACATCATCATCCAAATTGCCTAGACCAGGGGCATAAGTTTCAGAAAATCCCCATGAATAAACAAAGCCGTCCTCAGTTACAGCAAAAGAATGATGAGAGCCCACCCCGATGGTCCTGATTTTCATGCCGAGATCATTTCCAAATTTGAGTTGTGTGGGTGTTGGAACAGACCTGGGCTTGCCATGTTGATCCTTGAATGTTGATTTTGGGAGTTCTTCCTCTGGAATACCTACTTCCTTCATATCGTACCTTCCCCATGCTAGAACTTTTCCATCGCCAGTGAGAGCAAGTGTATGGTGCTCCCCGGCAGCAATTTGTTTAATGCCTAAATTGCACAAACCTGGAATTAAGGTGGGTTTCATCAAGACTGAGCCGTCTTCTAATTCGCCATTTGAACCAGTAAGAGCGCATTGTCCAAATTGATTTAATCCCCAGGCATATACCTGGTCATTGTGGTCAATCGCAAAACAATGATAATCACCACTAGCAACGTACTTGATGTTATAAAGTCCGAATTGTTGCGGCTCTAAGCTTCTTAAACGATGCCTCTCCAAGATTCTACGGCCCAATTGATATTGCTGTCCATTTCCCCACGCAAACACAATTCCTTTTGAATCTAATGCTAGTATATGGTCTTTTCCGCCAGCTAATTGAACGATATTTTTGAGTTCCGAAATTTTCAACGGAGTTCTTTGTATTTGGATTTCATCTCGCAAAAAGCCTAATAAACCTTCGTTGCATCGGAAACAGCCCCAAGCATAAACATCCCCATTTGATAACAAAGCAGCACTCAAGTTATCTGTGGCAACCAATTGAACAATTTCATCTTTAAGATCCCAGTTTTGGATCAAACTGGGAGTAGCTTCTGCTTCGTTCAAATCGCCGTCCTCGTCATCACTTTCAGCTGCATCGACATCCTTCAAAACCTCCTTGGAATTGGAGGTATCCCTACCCAAAACACCACTGTCATTGTTTCCCCAGGACCAAACACGATTTTTCCCATCAAGAGCCAAAGTGTGCATACCCCCGGCAGCAAAGTCAACAATTTTTGTGTTGCCCAATTTCTCCTCCGTTAAGTAAGGATTTAATCTTGGTCTTTTGACTTCTTTGGTACTGGCTGAAGGTCCCAAACCCAACTCACACATTGATCCCGTTCCCCAAACAAATATATCAAGTCCTTTCGTTTTGGTCGATGGCATCGCATTAATGTCAGGTAGTTTTGAGTAGGAATGTAATACAAAGGAGGAAGTGGCAAAGGACTTCAGCCTCTTGTGTGATCCATTTGCAGAATACTCTTCTGTCTTGCGCTTTCTTTCTAAGGCAACCATTGCTTACTGATATTTCCAACAAATTGATTACCACTTCCAGGACTAATTTTCGTTGATGAGATTATATACTTTCTCGGGTCCTGTACATAAAAATTCATCGTCAGTGATTTTAATGTCGTACACTATATTTTAGAGACATCCACGACAATTTCCCTGCAACAGGGTTACCATCAAAGGATGGAAAAGAGTATTTTACAATGAAAATTGCAACTACCCTAGCAAATATTTGCTGCCTTAAAACAAGTGACTTACATAGAATTGTGTCCATTAAAATGACAGCAGCTACCACTACCTACACATATTCAATGCTATCTCTAGAGTTCATTGTAGGGAACTTCGGAGATTAAAGTCCAACTGAAAAATTTTGATATGTCCTGGCTCTCCAGGCGGCGTCCAATAAATATGGAGACCATTAATAAAACACCAAACCTGTTAGAATAAATGAGCCACCAGTCAGGGTTGCTCAAAAGTGGAATGGATGATTGTGGGAAGGTTATGTTTGAGCTTGGAGTATTGAATGGAGCTGTACGAGTGACCAACTGACTCGAATTAGAGGAGCACCGCAAACTGGCTTACACTTCAATCAATATATTAACCGACTTGCTAGGTTTCTCGAAACAAAGTGTATCCAACACCTGTTTGTTTACATGGAGAGATGGTGAAGCTAGGACGACTTTAGGGCCATTTACTTTTGAG